TTTAATAAAGAATTGAATTGATTCATTTCCACATTGCTTTAATAAAACTCTAGCTTCAGGCTTCAGGTGAATTTGTGGAGCTGACCTCATTTCAAATGCACCAGCTGAAATTCTTAGATGATAAAGCTCTTAATTTAATAAAAGCTGATTAATAGACACTCAAGAGCTGAAATTATTTATTAAATGCTACCACAACATTAAAACATTTATTCCTCAGTTTATAAACATGATTCGGTTTTACAATTTAACCCCAGAACAAAAATTATTAAAGAATAATATGCCTAATGAGCTTCCTGGTGGGTCTAAATCTAATTAAATCTTTAATCTTTGCTAGAAAATGTTTAGAAAATCACTGAAAATGGTGTTAAATATGTGTCAGATGCACACACACACACGCACGCATGCACACACACACGCGCGCGCACGCACACACACACACAGTAATTAAAGATGTAATTATACCCGTTTGTGTTGTGTCTCGGTCTGATGAGCTGCTTCCTTCCTGTTATCAGTCGAGTGCCACCTGAGTCCCTCGCAGCACATTTTATATACAATCTGTGGTTCAATAAAGTTTTTCTCATCTACTGATGCATATTCAAAAGGACAGAAACAGGCAACATATTTATTTTTGTCAATATTACTGTTGTCTGAATATTTCCCTCATGGGGATTGTTTTTCTGTCAGCTGATTGGAAATAACACCTTCAGCTAATGAGGAAACTAAGGTTTGGAGCCTGAAAATGTTAGGTGTGTTAAACTGTTTGTCACATCCTGTCTGTCACTGGAATTGCCTGATTTAAATCAAGATGATGAAACAACATTTTGCATAAGCTATATTAAAATGAAGCTCTGTGGTGAATGTCAATGATGGGCGTGTTTATTTATGGATCCGCTGAAAGAATTTTCTGATCAACGCCCAAAATAAAACATCTAGTTACTGACAAGATCAGGACGTTTTAGGCTGGTGAAGGTTCTCAGTAATGCTGGTTCAGTTGCTAGAGCTCTATAGTTTCTTGAACAAATTTCCATTCAAACTCAAATGGAAAAGTGGGAAGCACCAGGCTTAAATTGCCATGAGACATTTGTTATCATGAGCCAACTGTGTTGATTCCCTTCTAAATCACTTCAACAGCAAATCTCTAGAGGTCATTGATCCTGTTTCTCCAGAAAAGCTAAAAATTATCTCTGGCAAACAAAAAGCTCCATGGAGGTTCACTAAATCATTTACAAACCAAAAGAGAGACTGTCGCGAAGCTGAGAGTAAATGGAGGAAAAAGTAACCTGCCTGATCACTATCAGTCCTACAGACAGCAGCTGTGTACTTGTAACTCTGAGTGAAGTAAGGCGAGACACGTTTTTTTCTCTAAAGTGATTAACAACATTAACAATTCCTGTATTCTGTTTGCCACTGTCGAGACACAACACACTTGGCTCCTGATTTCATGTCCCAATCTTAAGTGTGAATGATAAACTGGGTGGGGCTTTCAGGCGCAGTCCATAGTTGGTTTCCATCATACCACACAGACAGGAGTTATGTTGTTTCCATTGGTGAACACAAATCAAAGCATATCACCATGACATTCGGTGTCCCCCAAGGCTCGATTCTTGGACCACAGTTTTTAAATCTCTACATGCTCCCCCTGGGCTAGATCATAAACTACAACAACATCCGGGGTTCGATTCCCGGTCGGGTCAAACCAAAGACTTGAAAAAATGGAACCCAATGCCTCCCTGATTGACACTCAGCTTTAAGGGGCTGGATTGGAGGGTTAAACCACCAAATAGTTCCCAAGCTCACCCACAGCTACAGCTCACCACTCCCCTCTATGGGGATGGGTCAAATGCAGAGATGAATTTCACCAGTGTGTGATGAAGACTACGGGACTTTAACTTTAACTTATTCAGAATGCTGCTGCTAGAGTCTTAACAAGAACCAAGAGAGCCGAGCACATCACCCCTGTTCTTAAATTTCTACACTGGTTACCAGTAAACTACAGAATCGACTTCAAAGTGCTTTTACTAGTCTATAAATTTCTCAGTGGCATGGGGCCAAAGTACATGTTGGATCTCCTTCCAGTATATACACCCAGCAGGGCTCTCAGATCCTTTGGAAACATTCAGCTGGTAGTACCCGGGGTAAGAATCAAACAGGGTGAAGCTGCTTTTAGCCACTATAGCTGTTTTTACTGCTGTGTTTACTTTCATTTTCAATATAGTTGCCGGCTAGCCTGGCAAGCCAGACTAATAAATATATTATTTAAACTTTGTAAGGCAAGAAGTTGGTGTAGTTCACTAGGCTAGATGGCAGCCGGAGCTCGGCAGTAACTCCCCACGTGATCATGACACCTCCCTCTGTTGTGCCAAAGCGCAATCGCCATTTATAGGACAGACAACTACCGCAATGTTATTACCAAGCAATGCAGAAAGAAGGACACATCATTTGCGCATTGCCATGCCGGTATAGTGAGTTCATAAGACTCACCATTGCCATAATATTACGCTCATTTGCCCACATTGTGTGTCTTGTAAAAAAGGGCCTTGCTGCACACAGAAGGAATCAGCTTCCTCGTGACCTCAAATGTTCCCCTACTCTAGTAACTCTTAAATCAAAATTAAAAACCTTCATGTATTCATTAGCCTTTGAATACATGTTTCTTATGCTGCACCTTCTGCACTGTAACTGCTAACCTTTGGACTATGCCTTTCATCTGTTTGTAGAATCTGAAATTAATATATACATTTCTTTGTTTGCTGTTCTTGCTTCTGTAAAGCACTTTGAATACCCTTTATGTTTGAAATGTGCTATACAAATAAAGCTGCCTTGCCAAAGTCAACCCAAGCCCCCGATCCTACTTCTTGTGGGTCATTAGGGACTCTCGCTAAGCTGAGTCCCATTCTGTCCCGCTCTGAACTTGAGACAGTTCTCCACACTTTCATCTCCTCACGCTTAGACTACACGCCTGTGCTCAGCTTCTGACCAAGTCCTCCAAACACACCCACATCACCCCGCTTCTCCTCCAGCTTCACTGGCTGCCAGTCAACTTCAGGGTTCATTTCAAGATCCTGGTTCTGGTCTATAGGGCCTTACATGGACAAGCACCATCTTACATTGGTGATCTTAGTCCCTACACCCCCAGCAGGTCCCTGAGGTCCAGTGATCAAAGCCTACTGGTTGTGCAGCACCAGGCTAAAGGTCAAAGGTGACAGATCATCTGCTGCTGTGGCCCCCAGAATCTGGAACTCTCTCCCCCTGAGCCTGAGATCAGTGGACTCAGTGGTCTCCTTTAAAAAGCAGCTGAAGACTCACTTGTTCAGGCTGGCTTTTGTATGACCTTCTTCACCACTCTCTCTTTATTCTGCTCTCCCCACCTATTCCACCTTCCTCAGGATCCACTGATTTCCCTCTTTCCTATTCACTCTCTCTCTTTCTTAATCTTTTTTTAATCACAATTGTCTATTTTTGCTCATTTTAATATATTTTTAAACATTTTCTAAAAGCTTTGTTATATTTTTACATTTTTTGTTTTTGTGAAGCGCCTCGTGATTTTTCTCTTGAGAGGCACGATAGAAATGATATTTTCTTCTTCTTCTTCTTCTTCTTCTTCTTCTTCTTCTCTTGTCTTGATCCACATGCAAGGTGTTTAGATCACGTTCATGATGGTGTGATGTCTTGTGAAACTCTCTGGGGATTAGATCTGGAGCTAGATTGTGAGCTGTGTGTTGCAGGAGCAGAATTCAGGGTTGGTAAAAAGAAGGTTTAAACAGTTTCTGCAGTGTCTGATGTAAGGACATGAGACAGATTGTATGAGCAGAGATGAAGTGTCATCTTGAAACCCCCAAGAGTAAGTGGAGGAAGTAGATGGACAGAAGGAGGTCTGAGGAGCCCCCAATTAGAATTTCTGGTGCCATCATGTTGGGTTTGATTTAATGTTTGTTTCTTTACTTTTTGTCATCTGTAGATTAGGATTAGGTTCCTCGTGTTCTGACTTTACTCCCTGTGCCTTTTGAAAAGGTTTTCCTCCATTATTCAGGAACTTGCAGACCTGTCCTCCATCAGCCAATCATCTAGCCACGTCTCGCTCTTTTCCCCCTTGTCATCGATTTCACCAGCTTATTGTCGGTTCTGACTACGTTGTTGTTTATTGTTCTAAGGTTTGTCTTTATCCCCTTGCTGTCTGTTCTTGTGCTTTTTATATTTTTGAACTGTTAGCTTTCTTCTTTTTTGTTTCAGTTAAGCTTTAATAGTCACATAAATTGCCAGCATTTATTCCATATATATACTATAAACATGACATTCAGACTTGAAAACTAAAAATTTGCTCTCTCTTTCTATATTAAGGCAGATTCAATGCTAATACTCTGTGTGCCCTTTTACCTCCATATCTAAATCTTCATCAGAACAAAGGAAGTAGATTATTTCATTAACTTTCTAAGTTCAGTCTTTTTTTAGTCAGAAGGATGTGCTGCTGTTCAAAAATGATGCATGTAGAAAAAAGGGGTGTTTGGTGGTGAGGGGGGCGTTTCTGGTCCTTTGTTGTTGAAATGTTTGCAGGGCTGTAATACATTATTATTGTCTTAATAAATATCTCTGAGTCCTGATGGGACTGCTCTTTCTCTCCGTGTTCCCGGAAGGCTCTGATGCAACAAGCAGAGTGAGATGATAGATCTTCTTGTTCTCCTGTGTCCTCAAAAATAAATATCTCTCCTGGTTTTCACCTCTAAGCGACCCCCAGAGAAGTATCAGCCTCTGCTGATCCATCAGACTTGCTCCAGAAGTTGGTGGATTTGTGGAGCAAGATAAAAGGTTATTTCTGCTTGCTTGTGCTTGTAGGTGGCCTATGCCCAAGGTGGGGCCGCAGGCATGGATGAGATGATAAATGTTTCTGCTCTCAGTTTCAGGAAATGGGTTCACATGTTTGTGGACCAGGAGTCAAAGCTCTCGGATTTTATTGCTAATGCTGATGACGTGTGTGTGTGTGAGATGGTGTTTTGTGCTTGTAGGTGTTCTGTGGTTGTCGGTGGTGTCAGAGGTTCTGTACATCCTGCTGCTGGTGGTCGGATTCAGCCTCATGTGTCTGGAACTTTTCCACTCCAGTAACGTCATCGATGGACTCAAACTCAACGCCTTCGCTGCTGTCTTCACCGTACTCTCTGGTAAGAAGAAAAAAACTCTCCTTCAGTCTGGGAAAAGAATAATCGACTATTTATTTCATGTTCCGTGGATTTCTTCAAACCATAAAATCAAAGTAAAGCCAGAGTTTCTTTTTCCTTCTAAAAGGGTTAGGGTTATAATATACAGAAAACATCATTTCCTGAATATGAATGTGAGTTTAGGTTTCTAATAATACCTCCAGACAGAAGCTAGCCTATGGCTAAATCTGGCACATTTACACAAAGGTATCACTGGCTGTTCATTAATTCATTGTCCTCTCCAAATAAACTCATAAACTACTAAACACTCTGAGGATTGTTCAATTAAAAACCATTCATCAAAAACATTCAAAAATAAATATTAATTAAAGCTGCAAGCAGCGTCGTTCGGCCCTCGCAGCTCCGCGCCGCTCCGGCCTGGCCGGCAGCCTGGGTCACCAAGGAATGTCTGGCAGAACAGAAACGTCAACCACCCCGACACCAGAAACCGCAAATGGCCTCCTAGTCCGCACCTCACCCTGACTCAGCATCCCCTCTGAGCTCACCATTAAATTGAATTGTAAGGTTACGGCGTTACGCCAGAATTCGCCATGGCATCAAAGCCCTTCCCTTTCTGGAAAGCTATCAGATCTGACTGGTCATTACAGCATCATGAAGACAGTTCATGACCTTGGTGTCATGTTGACTAAATTAGAGTGGACAAATGCTGGCATTTCAGCATAAAAAAAAAAACTTCCTGTAGTCAGGGGGCGGGACTTAGGTGATGCAAGCTGTCCACATTGTCATTGTTTACAGATATGGTCAATGATCACACAGACAAAGTTCGAAAAAGATCTGATCATGCACATGGGAGCTATTAAGTCAAGTAAAGTAATGGCGAAAGGTCAAAGTTTGAGGCTTAGCCACGCCCACACGTTTCAACTTTTGAAAAATCCGACGGTTGAATTTTTTCCCCTAAGTCTTGAGTATATTGCAGAAGTATGAAGGCGATTGGTGAAAAGGGCAAAGGAGCATCACTCTCCAAACAACATGTGCGAAAACCACTAAATAACGTACTTGGACCAAAATGACCGACTTCCTGTATGACTTTACGCTTGGCTCCAAGAGACTTTTTTGTAGGTCCTGAGACACCACATTAGTGTACCAAATTCCGTAATCCTCAGTCAAAGCATGGCTTGGGGCTATTAGTTTAAATGGTCCTAGGGGGTGCTATTTAAGATAATAGGCCACGCCCACACATTTTAGCTGTGTATATATCTTGGGGGTTAGACTAGGATCACTCACAAGAACTTTCGTAGCGATATCACGATAACTGAAGAAATGAGAGGCAAACGTATTTCCATGGCGGGATGGCGATTTTCGCCATGCTGCCAAAGCCCCGCCTTTATTCGAAACCTGCCAGTACTGGACACCAAGTGACCTCAAGTGGTCTAATGCTACTTGCCAGAGAATCCTGGTGATTGGGTAAAAGGACTCTAATAGGGAACTGTGAAAAAAAGAGTGGCAAGGCGAAAGGTCAAAGTTTGAGGCTTAGCCACGCCCACACCTTTCAACTTTTGAAAAATCCGACGGTTAAATTTTTTCCCCTATGACTTGAGAGTATATAGCAGAAGTTTGAAGGCGATTGGTGAAAAGGGCGACGGAGCATCACTCTCCAAACAACGTCTGCGAAAACCACTAAATCGCATATTTGGACCAAAATGGCCGACTTCCTTTGCGACTTGGCACTTGTCTCCAAGAGACTTTTTTGTAGGTCCTGAGACACCACATTAGTGTACCAAATTTTGTAATCCTCAGTCAAAGCATGGCTTGGGGCTGACAGTTTTAATGGTCCTAGGGGGCACTATTTCAAAAATTAGGCCACGCCCACATTATTCAGCTATCTATGTCTCTTGGGGGTCAGACTAGGATCACTCACCAGAAGTTCCGTAGCGATATCACGATAAATGAAGAAATGAGAGGCAAACGTATTTCGATGGCGTGATAGCGATTTTCGCCATGCTCCCAAAGCCCCGCCTTTTTTTTAAACCTGCCAGTACTGGAGACCAAGTGACCTCAAGTTGTCTACTGCTATTTGCCAGAGATTCCTGCTGATTAGGTAAAAGGAGTCCAGTTGGGAGCTGTGAAAAAAAGAGTGGTGTGGCGACAGGTCAAAGTTTGAGGCTTAGCCACGCCCACACCTTTCAACTTTTGAAAAATCCGACGGTTGAATTTTTTCCCCTATGTCTTAAGAGTATATAGCAGAAGTTTGAAGGCGATTGGTGAAAAGGGCGACGGAGCATCACTCTCCAAACAACGTGTGCGAAAACCACTAAATCGCATACTTGGACCAAAATGGCCGACTTCCTGTGCGACTTTGCACTTGGGTCCAAGAGACTTTTTTGTAGGTCCTGAGACACCACATTGGTGTACCAAATTTCGTAATCCTCAGTCAAAGCATGGCTTGGGGCAGTTTGTTTAAATGGTCCTAGGGGGCGCTATTTCAGAAAATAGGCCACGCCCACAAACTTCAGCTGTCTATTTCTCTTAGGAGTCAGAATATGATCACTCACCAGAAGTTTCGTAGCGATATCACCATAAATAAAGAAATGAGAGGCAAACGTATTTCCATGGCGTGATGGCGATTTTCGCCATGCTCCCAAAGCCCCGCCTTTTTTCGAAACCTGCCAGTACTGGAGACCAAGACACCTCAAGTTGTCTACTGCTATTTGCCAGAGATTCCTGCTGATTGGGTAAAATGAGTCTAGTAGGGAGCTGTGAAAAAAAGAGTGGCGTGGCGACAGGTCAAAATTTGAGGCTTAGCCACGCCCACACCTTTCAACTTTTGAAAAATCCGACGGTTGAATTTTTTCCCCTATGTCTTAAGAGTATATAGCAGAAGTTTGAAGGCGATTGGTGAAAAGGGCGACGGAGCATCACTCTCCAAACTACGTGTGCGAAAACCACTAAATCGCTTACTTGGACCAAAATGGCCGACTTCCTGTGCGACTTCGGACTTGGCTCCAAGAGGCTTTTTTGTAGGTCCTGAGACACCACATTAGTTTACCAAGTTTCGTAATCCTCAATCAAAGCGTGGCTTGGGGCTGACAGTTTTAATGGTCCTAGGGGGCGCTATTTCAGAAAATAGGCCACGCCCACCGGATCTTCGCATCAGATATTTTGGGGGGCCGGACTAGGATCACTCACAAGAAGTTTCGTGACAATATCTTTAGAAATGACGAAATGGGAGGCAAACGTAAGGCCATGGCGGTAAGTCTGACTTCGCCGCGCCGCCACAGCCCCGCCCTCTGCCGAAAACTCCCATAAAGTGACGCCAAGCAATCCCAACTTGTCTTCAGTTACCTGCTACAAATATGGGGTGATTAGTTGAAAGGGCGAATTTTGGACAATTTCCCAGTAAAACTTGACCTTTTTGGTCCTGAGGGGGCGGGGCTTGTGTGATGTCATCATCCAACCATTCAAATTACTTAGTGGGTGGATGACGAATGACCACAGAACGTTTGGTAACTCTATTCTATTCAGTTATGAAGTTATAGCAATTTAAAAAATTTTGGCGTGTAGTCAAACTTCGAGGCCTGGCCCCGCCCCTTCAGTATTTACGAAAAGTCAATTTTATTGTCTCAATTTGTTCGTCTACCCCTTCTGAGCAATTTTACACAATTTTTGAGACAATCGTGCGAAAAGTGATTGAGCAATCCAATCAGAAACGGACCCTAAAAACGGCAAAAACGGCCAAAAATCGCCATTTCAAACCAAAATGGCCGACTTCCTGTTTGATATTGACCATGGTTGCAAGAGACTTTTCTGTGCGGACTGTTGAGGACTACAACTGTACCAAATTTCATAACTATACGAACAACTAAGCTTTATGGAGAGGGGTATTTTTCACTTTCTAGGGGGCGCTGTTCAGCCATTTTCTTTGCGATTTTTTCGGGACCTTTAAAATATCAAATTTTTCACCAGGCCTGACAAGCTTGCAAAATATTGTGAGTTTTGGGGTATGTTAAGGTCCCCAAAAAGCCATTCAAAGGGGCACGAGAATAATAAAAAAAGAATTAAAGCTGCAAGCAGCGTCGTTCGGCCCTCGCAGCTCCGCGCCGCTCCGGCCTGGCCGGCAGCCCGGGGCACCAGGGCACGTCCGCAGAACACAAACGTCGACCACCCCAACACCAGAAACTGCTAACGGCCACCTTGTCCGCAACTCACCCTGACTCAGCATCCCCTTTGAGCCCACCATTATATTTTATGTCTCACCACTAGGGAATCCTCTATCTTTACCACACTGGTGGTGTGATGACAGTGACCAACTTTAATGCTATTCTGACCATGTTTTTTAAAGTTATCGAAGGATAACGTTATCTAGGTGGCGCTGTGACCAACTACAGAAAAGTCCCATTGAGGTCAGCTTTGGTGACATTATATAACATTCACCAACCGTTTGTGCCTCATTGGCTAAAGGGCATGATTGTTCATTGCCATATTCAGTTTCGGGCAAATCGGAGGCCGTTTGTGGAAGTTACAGTCAAATGTAAGGTCATGGCGCCACGCCAGCATTCACCATGACATCAAAGCCCCTCCCTTTCTGGAAAGCTATCAGATCTGAATGGTCTTTAAAACATCATGAAGACACTGTATGACCTGAGTGTCATTTTCATTAAATTAGAGGGGACAAATATGGGCATTTCACCATAAAACAATAGACTTCCTGTTGTCAGGGGGCGGGGCTTAGGTGATGTCAGCTGTCCACATTGTCTTTGTCTTGAGATGTGGTCAGTGATCACACAGACAAAGTTTGAATTAGATCTGATCATGCACATGGGAGTTATTAAGTCAAGTAATGTCATGGCGAAAGGTCAAAGTTTGAGGCTTAGCCACGCCCACACCTTTATACTTATTTAAAATCCGACGGTTGAATTTTTTCCCCTTTGACTTAAAAGTACATAGCATAAGTTTGAAGGTGATCGGTGTAAAGGGCAACGGGCCATCAATGTCCAAACAACGTG